GTCTAAACCAGGTCTAAACCAGAACTGACCCAGGTCTAAACCAGAACTGACCCAGGTCTAAACCAGGTCTAAACAGCGTGGAGTTCTTTGTCAGTCCTTTCGCCCGCGGTCACCTGAAGGTCTACGAGGGCGCATCTCCGGTGTTTCACCGCTGCTGATATCGAGGTGATTTTAGCAAATTTGTATGAAGAAAAACCCACCACTTCAATCCAGGTTAAAAAAAACACTGTAACGCGCGTTACTCACATTTGTACCGAGTAAAATATTACTATTTTTTCCCCTGTAATGCCGAACATTACTGTGTTACAGCAAAAAGTAATGTATTACTGTAATTCGTTACTTTTATAACGCGTTACTCCCAACACTGAATATGAGTAGGCCTGCGCTCGTATTTACCCCCGAAACAAATCAGATTCTTCACATCTCATCTTTCCACGAGCCTGAAAAACCAGCGTCAAAAACATAAGCCAAATCGTCCCTCTGTGTAACACGACGCCAACTATTTACAGACGACATGTCCCCGTGTGGACAGGCCGACTTCACCGGTCCCTGCTGACTCGTATCGTCTCCCAACTCACATTCAGATTAAATTACACGAAGAGAAGGACGAGGAGGAGGAGGAGGAGGAGAGCGTCTTTCCCCTCTAAACTCAATCAGGTGAGAGGTTATCCACGGACGCTCAGACCAGCAGCTCCAGGAAACCGCCGGCAGAAGCAGGATTTCCCCGGGACAGTCCCACTTTTGAGCCTGTGTCCCCCCCTGTCCCGGCACATTTATCCAAAACCACAGATTTGTTGCCATTTTATACAAGAAATGTCCCAAGTGTCACTATTTTTGACCAATTTGATTCCTGCCAACAGTAAAAAAAAGGCAAACTTTTGTCACTTGTTTAGGTAAAATACGAAAAAGCTGCTTAAAAACAACCAAAACACAAATAAAATGTGACTATACTGACGAGGGACGGGCAGGATTAGTCGATTACTCAACAACAAGACAAACAGTCTGCAACATACTGAAAAAATGTAATCCCCTACAGATTACAGATTACACACCCCAAAATGTAGTTTGTAATGTAATCCATTAAATTACTTAAAGTGAGTAACGTAATCTGAATACTTTGGATTACTTGATTTGCTGTAGAGAAGCAAAGACGAGGAAATCTTCACATAAAATGTTTTATCTGATAAAAGAAAATAAAAAAGTCCAGACTTTACTGAACCAAATTAAAAATATTATTGATAGAAGAAGAAGGAAAAGGTCCACGCGGCATGTTTTAGTCCTGTTAAAGCCTGTTTTAGTCCTGTTTTAGATCTAGTTTAGACCTGGTTTAGACCTGGTTTAGTCCTGGTTTAGTCCTGGTTTAGTCCTGGTTTAGTCCTGGTTTAGACCTGGTTTAGACCTGGTTTAGACCAAGTTTTAGTCTTGGTTTAGTTCTGGTTTAGTCCTGGTTTAGACGTGGTTTAGTCCTGGTTTTAGTCCTGGTTTTAGTCCTGGTTTAGTCCTGGTTTTAGTCCTGGTTTAGTCCTGGTTTAGTCCTGGTTTTAGTCCTGGTTTAGTCGCTGGTTTTAGTCCTGGTTTAGTCCTGGTTTTAGTCCTGGTTTTTAGTCCTGGTTTAGTCCTGGTTTTAGTCCTGGTTTTAGTCCTGGTTTAGTCCTCCTGGTTTAGTTCCTGGTTTTAGTCCTGGTTTTAGTCCTGGTTTAGTCTTTTAGTCTGTTTAGTCCTGGTTTTAGTCTGGTCCTGGTTTGTCCTGGTTTAGTCCTGGTTTTTAGTCCTGGTTTAGTCCTGGGGGGGGCTAGGTTTCGAGATCAATGAGAATCAAGTCAAGCCTGTGAGAGCTTTGCCTATAATGTCCCACAGTATGGATTAAAAAAAAATAATAATATAATATATTATATATATATATATATATATATATATATTTATCAAACTGCAATTTCATTCTGCATATATTCAAAGTTATTTTTATTCAAACAAAAGGCCATGAAAAGCTTTAATTATTACTAGGGCCGAGTATCATGAAGAAGTTGCTGGTACAACACATACCTCCATACAGTGAACTTTCTTATTTCTTATTTTATTTATTTGCAAAGGGACAGTACATATTATTGAACAGATAATAAAGTTCCATCCGTTTTAAACAGACCATGTATGAAAAATGGAACAAAAATTATTTCCCAAATTTCAAAGACCTGAAAATCATGTAAATAAATGGATGTATTTCATCATATCTTGTGTTATTCCATCTTTGAACTGTTGATGAAGGTACAGGATTTAAAAAAATTAATAAAAAATTTAAAATGATAAAAATTTGCTTGGAAGGACTGACATATTTTATAGAAATAGTTTCTTTCATTTTGAAGTAATATTAAAGTATTCAGAAGAAATAAGTTGACAAATTATGTAAAATCATGCACCTTCTACTTGTTTGCACAATTTTCCCTCCGTTACTTTTCTACATTACGTATCTTTCTCCTCCTCAACTTTCTCCTTTACAACTTTC